ACACACACACACCTCGGGACCAGAATACTCGCGAGGGTCGTCGTTTTTTGGCCCTCCCAGGAGTCGAAAAAGACACCCTTGGCACCACTCGGCCCGCCCTCTCCAGGTCCAGGGGAGGGGGCAGGGGGAGGGGTGAACCCCTCTCCGAAGGGGAAGGGGTTAGGGGGTTGAGAACAGAGCGGGCTCTCTAAACCACTCACGCCCAAAGGGCTCGTGGGACTTTGGCCAAGGTGGTCGCGCAGGAGCACCCTGCTACAACCGTGCCGTTCGGTTCCAGTGGTTTGCCCGTGACCCCTTGGATGTTTTCCTTCTTCAAACCCAAAAAGGCCGAGCCCGACGCCAGGTGCCGCAACCTGGCGAACGCCGAAAGAGCGTTGTGGAGCCACGCACTCTTGTCGCAAGAGGTGGCCCTGGACTGGCCCCAAAAAAGGTACGAAGTGTTCTCCCTCCCCCAGGCGCTGCGCACCCTCTGTCGGGCCTTGGACCAGACCCGAGCGAGCAAAGGGAGCAATCCGATCGGTCTCACTCCGCCTGTGGGCTTGTCTAGGAATATAATCAGAATCATCCAGAGTGTCGACACCCTGGGGTCGCGTTCCCATGCATTCGACAGGTCGGCAAATCGCAGTACGGCAGTTGGAGCACAAGCCTCGGGTGGAAGCCGCCCCACCCCAAGGCCGAGCCTTTGGCGAAGCACTTGCACGCGGAGCGTATATCATCGGACGAGATCGGCTCTAGAAAGCTTGAGACTCCCCAGGAAGACGGGTGCTCCCCGCTGGCCCTCGAGGCTTGGGTCCAAATCGGGACCCGCTCGTCCAAAAGTCTGCCGAGGGCCGCGTGGCCCGCCAGGGGAATGCCCCCTTCATCCGCGGGTTCGTGGACGGGCTCAGGCGCAGGCTTGGGGCCCTTGCTGAACCTGTGAGCGACGCGCCCGCCCCTGAGCACAGAAGACTGAGCGAAATCTTGCCAGGCCTGCCTGGCCTTAGACGCATCACTGGCTAGCCTGGCACCTACCTCCTGGGCAAGGGCGGCAAAGAGGCCTGGGCACCTGTCGGGATCCTGCAGACCTTCCAACAGCCCACGACCAGAGATGGCGCTTAGCGCCTCGGCCTCCGCCGAAATCAAACAGGGACTGACCTGATCGAGCACCTCCAAGAGCCTCCCCCAAGTCACCCCCGTCCGACCCCCTTTCTTTTTGGTCAGCCCTAACAGCTGCGACAGCACTCGTCGGAGCTGCAGCCACTTCGCCGTGCTGGCCGTCGAGCGGCGCGCGAGCTCGCGGCCCCAGGCTGCGCGGAGTGGCATCAGTTGAAACTGGCATCC